ATGCCATGGATTGGTCCTTGCCTTGCGGAGAACCTCGTTGAGCTCCTCCTGCTGCTGGGCCTTATGCGCATCGATCTTGCCGTGGACGGTGTCCCCAGCCTCGTACGCATACTTGGTGGCTCCTTCAGAGGCGGTGGCTTGCCGCTCCCACTCTTCCTGAAGCTCAATGTCACGAATAAGCTTCTGAAGAGCCGCTGCGTCCTCTCCCTGAGGAGAGCTTCCCGTGGACGGCTGGCCAGCATCCTGAGATACCTTTGGCCTTTTCTTGGGAGCTGGCTTGGAAGGCTTCGGATCCGTACTGCTTCCCGGTCCCTCTCCATGAGGAGAGCTTCCGGTAGAAGAGGCAGACGGCGAGGTTCCCTCTTCATGAGAAGAGCCTACCCCAGCATTTTGCTGCCTCCTTTCGTGGCGTAAGCCACCCGGATCCTGCTCGTGAGGCGGCCTGTAGAGGAACGTCAAATACATTGGCGCCACGTCCTTGTATGAGAGCACCACGCCGTTGTCTGTGAGATACAGCTCGTGGCCGTGGCTCAAGAAGCTCCCATAGTCGAGCTTGGCGTAGAAGACGTAGGAGCCGTACTTAATGACGGTCCCAGGCCCTGGAGAAACCTCTCCGCCCGCGTAAACGAAGTGGATGGCTCTCCTGTGCCTCTGCCACGAAGCCTTCTTAGCCACCAGCAGCAAGCCCTTTTCCCGGATACCCTCATAGTTAGAGTTATCCGAAGCATGAAAAATCATGCCGAGCTGGTGGCATCTCTCCAGGGTGAGCTTCTCACCCAGGGCGACATCCGACACCTGCTCTGGAACCCGAGAGTGACCCTGATGTGGAAGTCGAAGTCGAAGAAGCGCTCGTACTGACCCAGATGTTGAAGCGGCCCTTCGAGTTCGCCATCAGGAAGCTGAAGAACTTCCGTGGCACCCAATCGAAGGGCCTAAGAGGGCGCTTCATCATCGTCTCCAGGCGGATCTCCATGTACTCCCCCGGTGTAACCTTTTCGTCGTGCCGAGTCAGCCGCGAGAGCTGCTTGGACGACTTTACGGCCCAGCCGCCATGGTCGTGCCTCAGCTTGGAGACCTCGAAGATCTCCCTGTCCAGCACGTCCAACTCCGAAGAGTCCAGGCAGCCCAGGAAACAGCACAGGAACTCGTACTTCCATACGAGATTCCGCTGCAGTACATGGGTTCCAGGGTGGCTCTCCTCATATCGCCGGACATGTGACAAAAACGCCAATTGTCCTTCCAGAATGTTCACCGCGGCCATCTCCCCCTGAGGTAAGTACGCCGTGGTGTCCTGCTGTCCGTCGGGACGATCTTGAGGGAGGCCACCGGTGCATCGCGAGGAAAGGCTCGAGAACCCCTTGTGGGGCAGGTAACCACGCCGCCATCTCCAACTGATCGGAGTGGCGCCCAGGACGCGCTCTTCAGATACATGGCAAAGTCCGGGACACCAGTGCGAACGTCAACCTTGAAGTTGCATCCGTTGTTCGGTGTCCAGTAGACCTGCACTGGTGCCTCCTCCTGAGATGAGCGTCCAGCATCCATCGAGGGTCCTGCCGCAGCCATGCTGGTAACAGAAGTGGAAGTTGAGGGCTACTTTCTCACTAAAGTTTTAACCAGCTGATTTGAGCAATGCAGGCACAAATTTAAAAAGAGACCAACAACTCTTCATGAAGCACATGCGCTGAATTGCTCTGACAGCTGACACATGAAGCAGACATGACTCACAGACGCTCCTGCATGAACATGACATGTTGCACAGAACTCAAAACCGCATACTCCTTGCGGAGCCAGGCGTTCAAGAAAGCTTTGTGCTCAATCATAGAACGAAAAGGAGGATGTGAATCGATTTCCTCTTCAACCACCAAGTTTGAACAGAGTTCAGGAGGTTTCTAGGATTAGCGCTTCGTTTCGTGAGGCAGTCAGAAAGACCATGTTCGGTTCGAACGCGAGAAAGATCAGCGATCGCCCCTGAACAAGCTTCCTTTCTCAGCCTTTGAATCATGTGAATGGTTTCCTGTTGCTCGGGTGAGTGAGTAGTAGAAGCGGTAGACACGAGATTGTTAGCATCGGTTCGCATGTGAACCTCAGCATCAAGACCACTAATATCCTTCCACAAACCACGAAGCATCTGACAGGTACCAAAACACTTCATCAAAGCATAGAGCTCAGCGACAGTGGTGCTCAGGGTCCTTCTCTTGATCTTGGTTGATTCGGACCAAGACCAATGAGCCTCGGGTGTCCCTTCGATTCTTGACCCTTTCATCAGCGATGAAGATAGTCATCGCCCTCTGTGAGGATTTGTCGCTGTTGTTACGGAAAGTTGCATCAGGAATTCCAAGAATCCTCGGTGAACCCTTCACTGGCCACACCCGCAACTCAACCTCTTCACTGCGTATCTGTCGACACAATTTGTTCAACTCCTTGCAGTGACCGACGGTCGGAGCAGCAGATGCAGAAGCCAGTCGAGAGAACTGATAGCATGCCTGAAATTGCGTCCTCGACTGAAGTCAGTTGATGCTACCAAGCAAAGAGCGATAAGAGGTGTGGAGAGCTTTGTCACAAGCATCAGCATCCTTAAGATGCTTAGGTAAGACGATCTCCTCAAGCTCAGAAACACACAGCTTTTGATCGATCGATATGTACTTCTCCTTACCTTGTGCATCAAGAACCCAACGAACACGCTGTCCGGTGAACGTAAGGTCGTTCTTGTCCTCATGACCGACAGTGAAGTGTTCCTTTATCTTCTTGAGGAGCCAAGTGAGGCACTCAGGGGTCCCACTTATGATGAGATCATCAACATGAAGACTCACCACTCCAACTGTCTTCCGGCCTTTGCTGGGGCTTCCATGCACAGGGTCAGTGAAGTGTTCAAGAAGCTGATCAACCAACTCGGGAAAGAGTTCTGAAAGACTCTCGACCTTGTATGAAGCCTTCTCAGGAAGGAACAAGGAGACGAGAACCTCAGCTTCTTCTTCCAGGAAGCAGGTCTTGTCACCCATGTCCAGCCTCAGGTCATGGGCCCTTTCGACAATCCACCATGTTCCCTTCCGAAGAATCATGGAAACACGGTAGGCGATTTCGCGGAGCGACTAAGTTGTCTTTTCTGTTTTCATAGCTGCCGGTCCAGCAGCGCAATGATTAATTATTTATCGTCTTGTTTCCGGCTTCTTTCATGATGTGAGCTTTTGACTCACTCTTTTTAGGCCTTTAGGCATGCTTTTGGATTTTATTTTGAAAAGTAGTTGGACGCGCTTTTAAGTATGTGGACTACTCTTCAAAATTGAGGTTTAACTTCGCCTCCAGGGTACAAGTTGATTGAAGTTGAACTCATGCGTGATCACCCGCTCCGTAGCCATTTTGGCTCAAGCATGGCTCGTCGCACATGTGCAACATGACATCTCAATCAGCTCATGAGCTACGCAGCTTGAGCATGCACTGTGCAGCAGAGCTTTGCTAAAAATTTTCAAACCGTAGCGGGGGGCCGGCTGATGGAAGCCCAAGGAGCCGACTCTGACTCTGAGCATCTCAGCTCTTGCAGTACGATCTCGGCCATCTCGCGTCACGTTTTCGACTTGCAGATTCAGTTGAATCAGGTTCAGCAAGAGAATCGGGTCCTGAGTGATCGTGCCGAGTATCTTGAGGGTCGTGTGCGCTCCTTAGAGCAGTCTCAGTCAGCTGCAGATCGCCGTCTTGTGTGTGGCTGGAACGCTGTGTTCAGCAAATCCGAACTTTGGCCTCGAATCTGTGTGGACCATGAAACGTAACTCTGACAGCCTGACAGATTTGGTCGCACACACCCAGTTGTGCGATTACAGGGCCAAACGGATTCAGATGCCTTGGGATCAAGGGGTTTTCGGTCTAGTCTTTGGGTCCCCTAGGCCTCCTGCACCCTTGGTTCCCCTCAGCAACACATCGTGTTTCTTAGCACTGGGACACCACTTCGAGACCAAAGCAACGGCAACAAATCGTACTTCTTGGCGCTGTGGCACCACTTCGGGACAAAGGCAACGCCAACGAGTCGCATCTTTTAGCATTGAGGCACCACTTCGAAGCCAAAGAACGGGCAACAAGTCGTTCTTGTCAGCACTGGGGCACCACTTCGAGACCAAAGTAACGACAATAAATCGTACTTTATAATTCTGGGGCACCACTTCGAAGCCCAAGGACGGGCAACACATCGTACTTCTTAGCATTGGGGCACCACTTCGAGACAAAAGCAGCGGCAACTAATCGTACCTCTGAATGTTGGGGCACCGCTCCGACACCAAAGCAACGGCAACAAATCGTACTTCGTATCATTGAGGCACCACTTCGACGCCAAAGACCGGGCAACAAATCGTACTTCTTAGCACTGTGGCACCACTTCGAGACCAAAATAACGGCAACAAATCATATATAGATTTTGGTACAAAAAACACCACTGCGAGAAAGAAGCACTGGCAACACATCGCACTTCTTAGCATTGGGGCACCGCTTCGAGACCAAAAAACGACAATAAACCGTATTTTTTGGCATTGAGGCACCACTTCGAGACCAAAGCAACGGCAACAAATCGTACGTCTTAGCCTTGGGGCAGCATTTCGAGACCAAAGCAACAGCAACAAATCGTACTTCTGAAGCAACGGCAACAAATCGTATATGTGACTGTGAAAGTGTGCTTTTTGACTGCGTGTACGAAGCCTAGTAGTCAGAAGTAGCTGTTGTTGTACAATCCTAGGCATAGGAGACCAACAGGTTTGACTGCGAGTGACCTACCGCGGGGCGCCCTTTTTGGGCCAAGGCTCAAGCGGGAAAACGTCCGGTTTTCACACTGGTAGCGGAGCCAGTGCCCGAAATAAGGCCAGCGCTCTTCTTTTTCACAGTTCGCCCGCTGCGGCGATTTCTCCTCCTCGCAGTAATGGCAGCTGGAGGGGGATTGCGTTACAACCCCAGGCAAGATGTTGAACCCGAGCTTACTAAAGCCGGATTCCTGGTCTATATTGGTTCCGTGCAGGACTACTATGAGTGGGAATTCCGTGCGATGGTTAAGCTCCACGCGACGAAAGCCGAAGAAACGTTTTCGCTCGGCGCTAAGCTTCGGCGATGCATACATAGTTGCCCAAGACTTGGGGCATGCCGTGTTGAAGAAAGAAAACGCTATCGAGGAGATAATCGAAGCGGTGAAAAAGCAAATCTTTCCGTTGCAGGCTCAGGAAGCCAAAGAACTCTACAGAGTTGGCTCCGGCGTAGGCGGAGTCATGTCGAACCAACCCGGAGAGAGTATGACCTCATACACCGGGCGACGCAAGAGGTGGTACCGGAAGCTCAAGGAGCTTGATGCTTCTCTGGAGATTTCGGATACCATCCGAGCTGATCTACTTTTAGACAATTGTGGATTAGATCGCAAAGTGCGACTAATGATCCTTACCGCTGTTGGCGATAAGCCGTCTTTTGACGCTATCGAGAAAGCTTTCATCACCCAGCGCGGCAACTTCTCTCACTTCTTGGAGAGCAAAGCTGCTCCCAAATCCTCAGGGTTTGTTTCCCGAGGAAACTCCTACAAAGGGAGTCCCTACAAGGGAAAAGGCAAAGGAAAGAAGGGTTCGTTTCAGCCCATGGCATATCTGGCCGATCCACAAGACCTCTTCGAGGATTACGGAGAAGAGGAATCCGTTTGGGATCCTGAGAGCGAAGAGGAGTTGGTTCAAGCCGATGACAATGTCACGGCGTTCTTGGCTGGATCGCTCGAAGATGCGACCGCCGAGAACATAGAGCTGGATGTGATGGAGGCTGTTCACCAGAGTTTGATCTGGGGGACAATGATAATATTGCCTTGATGGCCCAAGCTTGCCAGGCAGAAGTTGTTGCTTACTTTGCCCGTTTGAAGGCAAAGGGCAAAGGTATGCCGATGGGTCAGCATGCCCACGGCTACAATCCGAGGCCCAGCGGTCTATCGATAGAAGACCGAAGAAAGAAACTCAAAGAGGTGAAGAGCCGTAGCACTTGTAAAGTGTGCGGCAAGAAAGGGCACTGGGCCGGAGACAGAGAATGCCAAGGCAAAGCGATTGGAGCATCCAGTGTTGCCAAAACTACACATCTTTCCGCAGCGTCGCATCTCTGTTTGAGACGCAGCTGTCCAGACCGACTTCTTTCACGTCGGCTCTGGCAGAGAAAGCTTTGACTCATAAGAAGAGTCACAGCACGAAGCGTTTGTGGTTAGGGATAATGATCCAAGCCATCCTGAGGCTCACCCAGGGTTCTTTAATCCGGGAGACTTTGCGGATGAAGACGAAGATGAAGAGCTCGTCGAAGACGACTCTTTTGAGTTCCTCGAACCTCCTCCTGAGGGATCGGACACCCCGTTTTCGGGTTCGGACTTCACAGAGGATAAACACTACGTCTTCCCGCAAAGTACAGCGCAGAGAAGAGACTTTTTTCTCTTGCAGAAAAAAGCTGAAGACTTCGTTCCGGTGAGGGACTGGATTGTGGCTCAAACAGGAGTAAGCTTTCCAGCCTAAAGCCGAGTCCATATGGACCGTGCTCAGAAGGCTGTAGCTAACCAAAGAGAAAGCTTAGCTAGTGCTTCTGCTGCTGCCCCTAGCTCAAGCTTAAGGCCTCAAGCCCAAGCCCCACCGCTGCTTGGAGAACCTGGGCAAAGTCGCGTGCGTGCTCTCTTTGGCGCGAGGCCTTGGAGAACCCGCACACTTACGGCGAGGAGAAGAAAGAGAAGAAAGGCAAAGGCCGCGGCTGGAGCAAGAGCCCTGCTGCAACTTGGGAGCCCAAAGGGAGCGTTTTTCCAGCCCCCAATGGTGCTGGTGACGGTTTGGTAGACCGCGTCAAGGCTGAAAATGCCAATCGAGAGCGTAAAGCTTCGCCTCTTCTCGCAAGAAGAAGGAGACGAAGGAGACAACGGCAGCGTCATCGTCGAGAGACATGAAGATGAAACATGATGAGGAAGAGGAGCTCGAATTCCTCGATGACCTCACTTTCGTCGAAAACCTCAGTCTCGACGATGGCTATGATCTTTCAGATATAGTCAACTGGGACGTGCCCGAGCTGGAGAAGATCACCTACGTTTTTCTCCGCCACCTCTTTGCAGCTTTCCGACCGACCGAAACTTCGGCGGTGGATGGCATCATGAAGAAGTACAGCGACGAGTTGATCGCGCTGATGGGTTGCGTTGCCAAGAAGTACGTCGATGGCACGTAAGCGGCGAACATGTTTAGGGCAGATCTGAATCTCAAGACTCGGGACCCAGAGAGCTTCGGAAAGGAGTATCTCGAGCAGTCTTTGAGGGCCGCTGATGCTCTCATGGAGGAGCTGGACACAGCGGAGCTGCCTAAGTTCGGAAAGCCCAAGCGAGGCACCGAAATTGATGGGGATGCTAGAACGGCAAAGAAACAGTTACATGTATGGTTACAGTGCCCTACTGGAAAGAACGGGTCGGCGAGGTGCACAGTACGGCATCATGCCGTCTATGTTACCCCGACAGTGCCTATCGAAACAACGGCATTGTACCCAAACGTATTTATCCGTAGATCGGAAAACACTGACTGGGAGTGGCGCAATAATCACTTGTAATGGGATCTAAGGAGCGCTCTTGGTTTGAGAGGTAGTCTCACACTTTAGGTGTACAGGAAGCTCTTCTCTGGAGTGAGCTTAGGGGATCAAGGAAAGTGACACCAAAGAAAATTGATCTGATCGGTCAATATTCCGACGGATTTACAGGAGCGGATCTTAGGACTGTAGATCCTACACTAGACTTGGCTAGGCTAGAGGACTCATACTGGCGAAACAAAGTTTCCTAGGAAGTCCAGACGATCGAGTCCGACTCCTTTGTAGTTTTGTTTCAGTGTACAGGAGTTTCACCATTTAGTCAAGCTAGCTCTCATTGGCTGATGCAGCTCGTGTCCGAGCAAAAAAGGTGGGTACTCGTCTTGGACGAGATAGGTTCTCGTAGGTGGGAGGATTCAGAAGGATTGGAATTTGAGGATGGTAAACACTTCGAGATATACTATGCTAGAGGTGACGTTGTATAGGCACTTGTACTCAGCGCATAGGAGAAGTGTTGTATGATTGGATTGGTCAAGACCACTGCGTGTACTATTCTCCGATTAGTATAGACACAGTTCATGAGTATGAGGACTTCGGGGTACTTGCAGGTTCAAGAACTCCAAGTCGCCTTCCCCGCTGAAACCCACATCGAAGAGAGTTTTGAGCCAGGAACTTTAGATAGGGTTTTGGATGAAAGTGGACAAGAAGAGGAACAATCCCTTCTTTACAAAGACCCTCAACAGGATCAGGATGATGACCTGTTAGAAACTCTGCATTTGGCCGGTTTCTTAAGAGATTGAAGCCGAGAGTAGGCGCGAATGGGCTAAAGTCTCTCCCAGAACGAGGATCGCCATCAGGCGACTTCACAATATGATGTCCCACAAGCCGAAGGAAGTTTTGTTGCAAGTCTTAAGGGGTTCAGGAGCACCTGAAGAAATGATTAGGGCTGCTAAGACATTCAGATGTCCAACCTGTGCTGTGTCACAGGAAAGCCGCAAGATACATCCTGTTTCAGCACCTTGTTCCTATATTTTCAATAAGGAAGTCTCTATAGATATCTTTGAAGTTCAAGATTTTGAGAGACGAAAGTACCAGTTCCTGAATATTGTATGTGTCGGGGCTTGTTACCAGGTCGTTGCCTTAGTCAGAGTTGGCGAAGGACAACCCTCAAGCGCGGAATGCTTGAAGAAATTTCAGCGATACTGGGTGCAGTGGGCAGGATGGTCCGAATATATTTCAATAGATCGGGGTTTGCACAACAGAGGCAGGTTTTGATTGCCACTGGTTTGTCTCAGCACGGAGTTGTTTTGCGACAGGCAGGACTTGAGCATATCGGCCGGTAAGAGCGTCATGGAGGCATTATCAAACGTGCTTACGGACGCGTTTGCAAGATGCACAATTTGAATGGTAAACAACAGGTTAAAGCTGCTATGACAGAATATCAGGTAGCAAAGAATGAATTCATCCGTCATGGAATGAATTTTAGTCGACAGCCAAAAGGCATTGCCCACCTACTTGACGAAGACGAGTTGGGACAACTCGGTGTCCTTAGTGGGGCGATAGATCCGTCCACGACCTCTGGACTCTGGACGAAATGTAGAGTATAGGCACACTGCAAGAAAAGCCTGTATCCATCAGGTCACATCAAGTCGAGCGAGAGCCGCCATTATGATGAATTCTGGATCATCACCGGGCAAATATGCCGCGGGTGATTTGGTTTGTTACCGTGAAGAGTCACGGGCAGAGCCGTTGAGGAAAAGCTTACTATGGAAGAACAGAGTCCGAGGATGCTGGAGTTCTGCTTGACCCAACAGATCTCCTTGATAATGCTGCAGCTATATCCGTACCTGAATCTCAGGACGAGTCTTTCAGCCCAGCAGAGCAGTCGCTGCTCTCACAATTTGGTGATATGCTTAAGTACGGCAGAAAATGCTATGATGACTTCAGAGCTATCCGGATGGAAGAACCGGAAGCTATGACGTAGCTGAAGAAACGGCGCGCTTAAAGTAACAAAAATAAAGCTGCGCAGGGGAAAGTGTTCACTTACCACAAGTGTTCACGTGAGTTGCAGAAGGGAATCGGTGGATTTCGAAAAGACTTTTCGAGTGGGAAAAGTGGAAGTGGTTCAATGCGGCTATAGATCTCGACGAAAAACGGTATCGTGAGCTAATAGCAGAAGGTCACGAGGAAGTACTTCTCAAGTAGGTTGATACTGACAAGAATGATGCCATGAGAGGATCTCAGCCGAATATAAAGGTCAAGAATAAAAGCCAACTGGTTACTAGAGGCGGCCTCGAAAGCGCGATGTTAGATCGGACTCTCCGACTGCTGATATAGAAACGTAGAACCTAGTTTTCAATATCGCGTCTTCTAGAAAAATATTGATCGATAGCACCGATATTATTATTGCTAATGCTTAGATCGAAGGAGAAGAAGTCGATAGAATCTTAATCTTTCGGCCCCCCCAAGTTTCGCTATGGCCGTGCACCCTTCCGTGTACAAAGCGGTGAACAGATAGACGAGCCAAGCATTAATGTGTGCACGGTACTGCGTAGGCATCTCTCTGTCTGTTGTCTAGTCCATACACTTCTGGCTTGTTTATATATATATATATATATATATTAATTTCTTTCTATCACTATCTATGCTCTTAGAATACAGCCCTCGAACTCAAGTTCTGCTTGCAGACACCGTGTTGTACATCTTGTGGCCTTGTGTGCGCCGGATGTAGCTGTGGCATTGCAGATATGGTGAATCTAATCGTGTCCGTGGTATCGGTGCTCACTGGGGACTGGGCTGAGGGTTCCAGGGTTGACTTTGGATTCGCACTGTCACTTCGAACCACTGGAAGATGTGCAGAAATGGTTTGAAATACAATCCCAATCGAAAGATAATCTCATATTAAAAATTCGATCTTATCTAAATAATAAAAAGTATATTATATAGATTCAAAATAGTATAAGAAAATATTTGAATAAATAAATGAAATATAAAGAGATTCTTGAAATTATAAATAAAGAAGAAGCAAAAATTGAAAATAACAAATTAAAATTAAAGGACCGGATAACCCCACATGACAGCGATACTCTGGTCAGCATCAAAGCAGTGCAAAACAGAGTGGTTTAGATATGTAAACATGCGTGCGCACTCCGCGTGGGTGTCCGCCCCGGTTGTGTGTGTTGTACGTGTGCGTGTGCGTGTGCGTGTGCGTGTGCGTGTGCGTGTGCGTGTGCGTGTGCGTGTGGGTGTGGGTGTGGGTGTGGGTGTGGGTGTGGGTGTGGGTGTGGGTGTGGGTGTGGGTGTGGGTGTGGGCGTGGGCGTGGGTGTGGGTGTGGGCGTGGGTGTGGGTGTGTTGTGTGCTGTGTGTTGTGTGTTGTGTGCTGTGTGCTGTGTGTTGTGTGTTGTGTGTTGTGTGTTGTGTGTTGTGTGTTTGTGTGTTGTGTGTTGTGTGTTGTGTGCTGTGTGCTGTGTGTTGTGTGTGTGTGTGTGTTGTGTGTCGTCTGTGTTTGTGTGTTGTGTGTTGTGTGTGTGTGTTGTGTGTGTGTTGTGTGTGTGTTGTGTGTCGTCTGTGTTG